AGACTGACAGTAACTTGAAATGGCTCTAGAACCCTAGCTCAAAGATTTTGCATAAGAGAAGAAGCAGGCCATCAAGTAGCTAGCTCCTAATCGCCAAAGAAATTAACTTTATTTACAACAGACTGCAGAAAAGTTCAAGCTTTGTTCTCAATTGGAGGATGCGGTAAAAGGTGACTGAGGTGAGTTTCATGCATTTAATGATGACACAGACTACAGGACCAGCCACTCTGCAGAAAAGGGGCACGGAATAACACAAGTGGGAGAAGTCTTGATATACAAACAAATACAAAACATTAGCCGCCATAGGAACTGCTCTTTCAAAAGGGCCACAACATGACTGGAATTGTTTGTAGAGCAATTTAAATCCCAGAGCACGGTTGAAAACAACACAGGAATCAGCCTTTTGCTAGTAGAATTAACAGCCAGGAGCAATAAGAAAAAGAGAATACCACTGCCATCCCAGATAGGCTTCCCCAAAGCTTTGCCTCCCTGACAGTACAGAGTTTTAATATTTCACGGGGGGCAGGGGGAGACGACAGAGTTCACTAAAATAATTCAGCCAATTACTATAATACAAACACATAACAATAATAAGGCCCAGAGTGGGGAGTCCTGTACTCAAAGTTGTTACAATATGTTATCTAAAATGTCCAAGTTCTAACAAGAAATAACAAGTCACGCAAAGAATTCTCTAAGAAGTAACCCAGACACCAGGGGAAGGAGGGGTGGGCCAGGCAGACCAAACTACCTTTGAGAGTAACCAGATATTGGGTTTAGCAGAACACTTCAAAATAACCATTATACATATGTTCACAGGATTACAGGAAAGAATGATAAAGACGCAAAGGAAGATACATGATAGTATTACATCAAACAACATATCAACCAGGAGAGTCAGTTTATTAAGAACCAATTGGGCCTGGCGTGGTGGTGCATGCCTGTAATCCCAACACTCAGGAGGCTGAGGCAGGAGGATCACTGTGAGTTCAAAACCAGCCTGGGTTATACAGTGAGTTCCAGGTCAGTCTCAACTACATAGTGAGACCCTGTCAAAAAAAAAAAAAAAAAAAAAAAAAAAAAAGAACCAATAGGAAAAAAATTTTTTTAGTACCAGGGATCAAACTCAGGACCTTGTGCTTATGAGGCAGGCAGCAGAACCACTAAGCTAAATCCAGCCCTGTAAATTTTGAATTGAAAAGTATAATATCTAAATAAAAAATTCACTAGACAAGCTAACAGACTTCCATGAACTCGAAGATGAATCAATAGAGATTATGCAAGCTGAAGATTAGACAGAAGGAAACAGACCCCCAAAGAAATATGGGACATTACGTTAGTCAGCTTTCTGTCACTGTGACAAAATAACTGACATAAATCAACTTCAAGGAGGAAAGGTATATTCTGGCTCATGGCTTCAGAGGTTTCAGGCTATAGTCAGCTAGCTTCATTGCTTTTAGATCTGTAGTGAGGGAAAAACATTGTGGAGAAAGGCACGGTGGAACAGAGCTGCTGACCGTGTGGTACTGGGAAGCAGAAAGCACCTGTGCAGATGGGCTTCCTCCCTTTTCCTTCTTTTGTTCTGTCCAGGCCCCCAGCCTAGTCAATGGTGCTGCCCACATTCAGGGTGGGTCTCCCTTCTCAGTTTGCTGTACCACATGCCAACTGTCTCTTGAAATACTCTCATAGGCACTCCCACAAGTATGTCTTCTTAATTTCCTAGGTGTTTCTCAATCCAGTCAAGTGGATAATCAAGATTAGCCATTACAGACACCATTAACTACACCAACATGTATATACTAGTGTCTTAGTTACTTTTCTCTTGTTGCTGAGACAAAATACTTGACACCCGAAGTTAAAGGAGGAAAGGTTTATTTAGCTCACAGTTTGCAGAGGTTTCAGTCTATTATCGGCTGGCTCCAAGGCAGGGTGTCATGGCGGAGGGGTAACAGTTCATGGCCACTGACAGGAGGTAGCAAAACAACAAGGGAAAAGACAAGCCTCTTTCTGTCCCTTATATTTTATCAAGGCTACCAGGATTAGGGCACCGCCAAACCAATCAGTGTACTGATTTAGTAACCACCCACCCTTACTCCCAGCTTCACACACTCTAGATTCAGCCACCTCTGACCGCAAGAGACTTCGGAGGGACATCTAGACCATAACAACTGCGAGTGCCAGAATGGAAGGAGAGAAAAAGAAAAACATATTTAATGAAATAATTCATAAAAAGACCTCAAATTTATTTCAAAATCGTAACCTACAAAGCCCAACAAACTTCAACTACGATAAATATAAAAAGATCCATAAATAAATACATTACAGTAAAAGTGCCAAAATTCAAAATCAAGAATTATATCTGAAAAGCAGAAGGAAAAGAATGAATCATCATTTACAAAAGAACCTCAGTAAGACAAACAGCTGCCTGGGATTTAGCTCAATGGTGCCACCACCGGCCTCACAAGCACAAGGTTCTGAGTTTGATTCCCCATACAAAAAAAAAAAAAAAAAAAAAAAAGACAAAGCATACTTCTCAGTGGAAACAATGGAGGCAGGACACAGTGGCACAATAATTCAAATTGTTCTGAAAAAGGAAAAGCCAGGTATTGTGTGGTGGCACACACCTGTAATCTCAGCACTCTGGGAGGCTGAGGCAGGAGGATCACAAATGTAAACCTGGCCTGGACAACTTAGTGAGACCCCATCTTAAAATAAAAAATAAAAAGGAGGGCCGGGGATTTAGCTCAGTGGTTCCGCCACCTACCTTTCAAGCACAAGGACCCGAGTTTGATCCCCAGTACCAAAAAAACAAACAAAAACATACCCTTTTCCAATCCTGTTTCTCACAACTGTCCTCAGCTTTCATCAAAGTTGGTTTAAAAATATGCAGATTTGTCTTTTGGATCTTCATTTCTGAAGGCTTCCATGTCACATGAAACTTTTAAAAATAAATGTGTTATGATTTTCTCTTGTCTTTTACTTCAGGAATGTGGACACAACCCTGGTGACAAGGAGGGAATAAGCACTGCCCCACTGTCCCTACAACTGCAATTCAATGCAACCCATTAAATACGTTTAAGTCCATGGCAGTCCATGACAGGACTGAAGATGGAGCCCAGGGCTTTGTGCATGCTAGGCAAGCATCCTACTAAGCTACACCTCCAGGCTACTTTTGAAAAACATAACTGGTGCCTTCTGGAAGTCATCTTTTGGAGCTACAGTAAGTCTCTGACTTATGAACATTGGTGCTGCAAACTTTCACAGATACAAACAGACCTCGAGTTGCAAACATTCATGGATGTGAACAAATTCTGGAAGTAGCTCACGCGTGTCTGCCAAACATTTCACAGTTCTGCTGTGTGCTTACTGTTGCTCAGCAGGAGAGTGATCGGTCAGAGCCCAGGGTGTCCCAAAGCAGAGGGAAAAGCAGCAGCGACGTGGAGGGGACTGCCAGGAAGCACAAGGCAGTGTACACTGTATATCTGTGTCGAAGGTGTGTAAGACTCATTTTGTGGGACTTTCAAATGAATCCAACTTACAAATGTCCCCCAGAATGGGACTGGTTCACAAGTCAGGGATTTATTGCAGTTCATCTTAAAATGGATAAATAAATTAATCATTTATCCTGGGGTTTTTTCTATATGAACTACATCAGTGGGTAAACCAAAGGAGGAAAAAATGTTTTTCTATAAAAATATTCCTTTTTGTCATGTATTTATTTAAATTTTTATTCTATTTTATTTTTTTGTACTGGGGATCGAACTCGGGTCCTTGCACTTGTGAGGCAGGGAGTGGAATCACTGAGCTAAATCCCTGGCCAATTTTGATTTTTTCCAGACAAAGTCTCACTACACAGTGCAAGCAGCCTTGAACTTGCTGTGCAGACCAGGCTTACCTCAAATTCATGAGGCTTACCTCAAATTCACTGCCTCAGCCTCCTGAGTACTGAGATTGTAGGTGTGTGTCACCACATCTGGCTCATAAAAAAACATTCTAAGTAATAAATTAAAAAGAGATGATAAAGCTGGGCATGGTGGCACACTCCTGTAATCCCAATACTCGGCTAAGGCAGGAGGATCACTGTGAGTTTGAGACCAGCCTGAGCTACATAATGAGCTCAAGGTTAGTCTCAATTACATAGTGAGACCCTGTCTCAAAAAAACCAAACCAAAAAAAAAAAACAAAACAAAAAACACCCAACCAAACAAAAAGAACCAAGATATATCATGTAAAGGTAGGAGATCCTAATGATGAATGTAACTGTACTGTATACCTAAAAAGTACCAATACTCAATGAGAAAAATAAAATATATATATATAAATTGAACATCTTTGTATACATTCTTCAGGACTGATTATTCATATTTTAGATTGCCATTTCACATGGGACTGAGACTGCACTCCCTTTTGAAGCATCTGGTACAGAACAATTTAAAAACGATTGTTTGCCAGTCTTTGCAAAGAGGTGCCATTTTCTAGAAATCAGGAAAGTTGGCAGATTCTATTATGACACTGGCAGAAGAGTTAAATGATTTATTTATTTTATTTATTTATTTATTTTTTATTTTTTGAAACAAGGTCTCACTATGTAGTTGAGACTGACAAGGAACTCACTATTTAGCCCAGAAGGGTCTTGAACTCACAGCGATCCTCCTGCCTCAGCCTCCTGAGTGCTGGGATTACAGGTGTGCGCCACCACACCCAGGATTTAAGTGATTTTAAAATATGCAAAAAGTACAGACTAAACAGAGGAAGCAGCTGTGCAAACTGCAAGGCCCAACAAGCACAGACACATCCTGAGGAGGCCAGCGTAGGTCTCAGGGCTGCAGCCGGCTGACCTGAGGGAAGGCACCCAGAGCTACAGATATGAGAGAGATCTTTCTGTTCTTTTAGAGGTGTCGCTCTTCTTGGCCCCAATCCAGACACAGAAGGCAGAGAGTGTCAGCAGTAAGGAAAAAACAGATGTGTGGGAAAGGCCAGGCAGGTTCCCCAAATATACATACTTTCCATAAGAAGTATCCTTTAATACTAGCTCTGGAGCTCTATACCAGCGTGTGGCCACATAATCAGTATAAATGTCGCCAGGAGCTGCTAGTGTCCGTGCAAAACCAAAATCACAGAGCTTGGCAATTCCTGACTGGGACACTAAAATATTATCAGGTTTTATATCTTGATGAATAATCTAAAAAAAAACCAGAAAATGAAGTATATTAAAATGAGGTTTCTTTGTCTGGGGACTCTCTGCAAAATTACAAAGAAAAACTAGCTAATTAAGACAGTGAAACTATGTAAAAATAGTTACATATTTTTAATTACTTCTCCATCCATTACTTCAAAATCAGATGAAGCCAAAACAAACAATACTAAAAAGGTAAATCAGATTCAAAAGATCGGGAGGGGGGGCGGGGATTTAGCTCAGTGGTTCAGTGGCCTGCCTCGAAAGGGCAAGGACCTGAGTTCAATCCCCAGTACAAACAAACAAGCAAACAAACAAAAGAGGTACCAACAAACAAACAAAAGATCGAAGGGAGCCAGGTGTGGTGGCACACACCTGTAATCCCAGCACTCAAGAGGATCAGGCAACATGATTGCCATGAATTTGAGGCCAGCCTGGGCTACACAGTTAGCTCAAGGCCAGCCCAAACTGTGGAGCAAGGTACTGCCTCAAAAAAAAAACCCAGAAAAAATCAAATGTCCATCAGCTGGTACATGATAAATAAAATGTACTATAATCCATACAACAGAATACTACTCAGCCAGTAAACAATACATGCTACATTATGCTAAGTAAAAGAAGCCATATGTAAAAGGCCACATATTGAATGTTTCCATTTATAAGGAAGGTTCAGGAGATGTATACCTCAGGACAGAAAACAAATCACTGGCTGCCTGAAACTGGGGAAAGAAACTGGGACCAAATGAGAACAAGCAAGAGGAATCTTTTGAACTGATGAAAATGTTCTATAACAAGATTTTATGATAGTTGCAGAACTCTGTAATTTAACTTAAAATCTGTTTACTCATTTATTAGCAGACTGCTAATCCACCTGACTTGAAAAAACAAAGTCTTAACAAAATTAATTCAGGAAAGTAACCAACAGCAGCAATTCATGAAAGAAATGAAAAATTGATACCCAGAGTTAACGGATTATTTAAAATGTCCTGTTTTCAACAAAAACGTATAAGGCATGCAAAGAAATAAATATGACCCACAAACAGGAAAAATAAAATACTCAACAGAAACTTTCCCTGACAAAGTTAATATTGGACTTACTGAGCACTTTTTAAATCAGCTAACTTAAATATGTTCAAACAAAGGAAAGTCTAAAGAACTAAAGAAAAGTATGAACACAATGTTCAAATAAATGATACCAATAAAGAGAAATTGTTTGTTTGTTTGTTTTGTTTTGTTTTGAGACAGGGTCTCACTATGTAGAGACTGACCTGGAACTCACTATGTAGCCCAGGCTGGTCTCGAACTCGCAGCGATCCTCCTGCCTCAGCCTCCCAAGTGCTGGGATTACAGGAGTGCGCCACCACGCCCGGCTGAGAAATTGTTATAAAAGAATTAAATAGAAAAGGACAGCACAAAGAAAGCAAAATGATAATCCACAGAAATGGAGAAAATATTTACAAAATCATGTACCTGGATAGGAACTAGTAATCTAAAATACATAAAATATAACCGATCCTCCTGCCTCAGCCTCCCAAGTGCTGGGATTACAGGAGTGCGCCACCACGCCCGGCTGAGAAATTGTTATAAAAGAATTAAATAGAAAAGGACAGCACAAAGAAAGCAAAATGATAATCCACAGAAATGGAGAAAATATTTACAAAATCATGTACCTGGATAGGAACTAGTAATCTAAAATACATAAAATATAACTCAAAAACACAAAACCAAAAAAGAATTTAAAAAGGGGCAACAGAGTTGAAGAGAAATTTCTATAAAGATATAAATTACACATTTGTTTATTCTAGGTATTCCACTTAAATAGAATATATGGTTTTTTGTGTTTGACTTCTTTCATTTAACATGTTTTCAAGGATCATTCATATACCCTGTATATGAAGCAAAGATATGCTTTGTTCCTTTTTATGGCCTGATAATACTGCACTGAATGGATACACCTGTTTTTGTTGTTGCTGTTGTTTTGTGTTTTTTGTTACCAGGGATCAAACTCAAGGACCTTTTGCTTGTGAGGCAGGTGGCGGCACCCACTGAACTAAATAGACCTGAGGATGTATCAGTGTGAAGGCCCTGGATTCAATCTCCAATACAAACAAAAAACAAGAAAACAAGAAAACCAAATACCAAAAAGGATGAGTTCAAACCTCTGCAACCTCCAATGGTCTCAGAGCCTGAATTCTAAATGAAATAAAGCTTCAATTTAACCAATTTTCCTACTTGGTGTTATATAACGTATGCTCATGTTTATATGAAAAAATAAGCCAGTAGCTTGCAAAAAATAAGCTAAATAATAATGTGGAAGGCACACTGCAAAACTGTGAATGTCCTATCCACCCTAAAAACTAATGGGCAAAAATTTCAGTTCTTAACCAGATATGCTATGGAAGAAACAGTTGTTAAAGACATTTAAAAACTAATTAGTTAAAATTTAATATAAAGTAGGATGCAACGTTGATTCTGAGCTAATATAGGAAATTACTTTGTTTTTTTTTTGTTTTTTTTTTGAGACAGGGTCTCACTATGCAGTTGAAACTGACCTGGAACTTACTATGTAGCCCAGGCTGGTCTCGAACTTGCAGCTATCCTCCTGCCTCAGCCTCCTGAGTGCTGGGATTACAGGTGTGCGCCACCATGCCCAGCAAGGAAATTATCCTTTTCAAGAGAGAAATTGGGAAGTATTCCACAGTAAAATTCAGGTTGGCTCTAATGTACTCCAAATTACTGCAGAAAACAAAATAGCAATATAAATATAGCAAACATATATATATTTTCTAAATATAGAAAACAATATAGCAAAATATTAATAGCTGTTAAACATTTCAATAATAATCCCTTGTTTAAAAGAATAGAAATTCAAAATTCAAAGGAGTATTCAGAAAATACGTAAAAGTGGCCTAAATTTACAAAAATAGGGCTTTGTGGAGTAGGGTATTAGGTTGAGGTTAGTTAGGAAAGCTCAACAATCCTTAGGTATTAGTCAGAATTACTCATAATTCATAAATTTTACTAGAAGTTGTATAAAATTTAACAAGCTCCAATAAGAGTAGGAATGAAGTCTTTTGCTGAAGAGTGTAACCCCACAATCCAGTGAAATCGGTGTTTATAATTGGTAGATGCCCAGAGCATACTTATTAAATAAACAAATGAGGTAATAAATATTTCTTCTCCATAAAAGGCCAGATATTTGCATTTATACTGACTGTTTCCAAAATTTTGTTGTTGCTTTGCCGCTAGCAGTTGAAGCCAGGGCTTCACATATGCTAAACTCTACCACTGAACTCCCTACCCTCCCTCCCTCAAAATGGTTGTGAAGAGACTTGTAACAGTCAGATCATACCAAATCCACTAGAACGAGTCAGCTGTATTAATACATTTCCATAATGAGCTAGTTATTGCAACTAAATATTAAACTTCATTTGAGGAAGTATGTGGCTGGGCATAGTGGCACACACTCATAATCCCAGTACTCCAGAAGGCTGAGGAAGGAGGATCAAAAGTTCGAGTCCCACCCAGAGTGACTTGGCAAGACCCTATCTCAAAATAAAAAATAAATAAAGAGCCAGGGATAGCTCAGTGGGAAGGTCCTGGATTCAATCCCTAGTTTTAACAAAAAAAGTTTTCATTTTTAAATAAGAAGGTAAACAAATAATTCTGGAGATTAAAAAAAACTTTTTCCAATTCTAAACTATTTGAATTAATGAATTCTTATTAAAAGGTGTAATGGACTATCATGGTATATATCTCACATAGTTTAATTGCATAAAATTTCAATCATTTGAAATTTCAATTTTTGTCAACATGATGATAACCTTAAATCAAGGCCTAAACTCAGACATTCGGAAAACAGGCATAATAGTAACTATGTGCATCAGTCATTCCTTCACGGCCAACTTAATTGTCTAATGAAATTAGCTTTCCAATGCTCTGTGAGGTGAACAACATGGAGAAATTTACTCTAATTATACCCTAAATAAAATTAATAGAAAAAGAGAGCATGGGTGTTCGTGTGGGCCTCCTTCTCTGCTACGCCCGCCTCAGATACTCCGCCATACTGGGTGCTGAGAACTATTTTGTTTTTTCTTTTGTCTCTGAGATTTATCTATCCATTTGCCTTCAACCATAGCGTCCAAGACCGAGTTTCTCAAATATGTGTATCAGTTCCAATAACTTTTACAGCCGCGAGGTAATTGGTAAACCACTATTTTTCTTAGAAACTCTCACTGTTCCTTAAAAAGGTATCAATACATCTACAAGTACTTTCCTTTCTGAAATCACTGCTACCAGTGGCACCATGATTCTGCTCTCAAAAATTGTGTAATTTGTCTTTTATTTTCATCCCTTTTTGTATCTAATGAGTTCCCAAATCCTGTTTCCCTTTTGAAATCCTCCCATCCACTCCCTTTCACCCTTCCTCTCCTTCCCATGCCACTTTACCCTTCACATCTGAGCTTCATAACAGCACCATCATCTGACCTTTCCACCTCTACCCATTCTTATCTTCTACTCTTGCCAGACTAAACTTAGATTTTTGTTTTTATCCTGTCAAAACAATGCTCAAAAACCTGTAAGGGTTTCCCAGTGTCATCAGGAAAAAGTCCACACCTTTGGTTGGAGGTCAAGGATTAACTTCAAGACTCTGTAAAACTTCTCCCTCCCCAGGGAGTCCCATGCGATGTTAGCTCCCTGTTCCCAGTGACCAGACTATTATCAGTCTCTGAAGCCCCCACCTTAGGTTCCTTCTACTCTCACAGTGGTACACCAGCTGAAAGTATTTCCTCTTCTATTCTAGAATTCACATCCTACTTACTTTAGTTTTACCTCATTTCCAAAGGCTGACTGGTCCACACTGATGTCTCTTCATCCAAGAAACATTTTTGGACTGTAGTAGAGACAAGATACTATAGAGAGACAAGGATAAACAGAACTATTCCCGACTCCCTGCCAGCACAGCGTATTGCGTACTTACAATGTGCCTGACACAAGCATTAAACTCATACCTACCACTTAATTTTGTTGTTTTGGGGTTTTTTTTTTGGCCGTACCAGAGATTGCACTCAGGACCTTGCATTTTGCGAGACAGGCACGGTGCAACTGAGCTAAATCCCTGGCCCTTAATTTGATCTTTTAAAAAAATCTGTGAGGTATGACTGTCGTTTTAGGGATGAAGTCAGATAACTTTCCCAAGGCCACAGAGTCATGGGGCTGTGATCTCTGGTTACACACGTTGTTTTGAGTTTTCATAGATTACTTAGAGGTAAAAACACAGGAGATTGTGATTCCAAAGACTGATAAATGCTCTTCAATACCACATTATATCACCTACCTGCTCCCCTGTGGTTCCAGCTAGCAAGAAAATTACAATCTGAATTCCAAGCACTTACATTATTATTGTGTAGATATTCAATCCCTCGAAGGATCTGGAAGAGGTATTTTCTAAGTCATTTACTCTCTAGTCCATGACAATAGTGTTGCAACTCATCTAATACTGTGTGGTCAATAAATTCAAATACCAAATGAATTTTCTTTTTCTGTTTAAAAACTTCAATGAGAGTGACCAGGTTTTCATGATGAAATTGCTATTAAGAGAAGAAACAGGTTTCAATAAATTATTTCTAACATAATAATTTGTACCTAACATCTATATAATTTTGAACAGAAACATTCTGAGTTTCTTTTCCTCCGTGTTATTTCAACAAAACTTCAACTGATTTGTTTACTATTTTAAGAATATTTTTAGCCATTTCATGATCAATACCACCAAGACCTATTATGTAAAGGTACAAGATCCCAATAATGAATGAACTGTACTGTTTACCTAAAATGTACCAATAAACTCAATGAGGAAAAATAAATAAATAAAAATAAATGATCGATACTTACAGAAGAAACCAAGATATATTGCTTTTCCTCAGGTTGGCACGACTGTTTATCTAAATTAAGAGATGATATACTATACCACAACTTGGTATACTACTGACACATGTCTTGAAATATTTTAACTTGGTTTGAGGTTGAATTTAACAACTGAAATTTAAACGGTCCTTGTTTTCTGGTTGGGTTGTTTTCTTTGTTTTTGTGCTGGGATTGAATCTAAGGCCTTGCACATGCTAAGCATAGTTTACCACTGAGCTGTACTTTCAGCCCCTAAGGTCAGGAGGCTTTAAACATGGCTTTCAACACCATTAAGTATGTGACCTGAATTTATATAAACTTATTATTCTTTAATTTTCACCATAAACTCTAGAGAGTAAACCATAAGTTCTAGGGAATTCTATAAACTTGTCAGACTATATCAAAATAATATAAAAATATCTAGAAAATCTTGATATATGAAATGATAATCTATAAAATAGGAATTTTTACATAAAAAGGCAATGATTTGTGATTTTTATTCAGTGTTATGCTATTCTATGAAAACACCTTTTATACTGTTACCATTGTTAAAATAATTTTAAAATGTCAAAAATGGCCATGTATCCGCTTGGAAAGCAAATGCGGCTTAGTGTTCTATGTTGCTTATTCTATATTTTCAACACGTTGACACATTTTTAACACATTCAATTCTGAAATATTTAACAATTTGTTTTCAAATGATTGATAACATTCATTTGGCCAAGAATTAAGGGGTATATTTTCAGTAGTGTATTGATTTAAAAATATATACTTCTACAAAATTTGTCTTTATTCAATGGCACAACATCAATTTTTCCTCTTCTCCGTAACTAGAGACTAAAATCCTGAATCATGACTCACAGAAAAACAGGCCAAAATATGATGCCAGACTCCTTTCCTATTTTTCCTCCCAATTTCCCTGGTTGACAAGATGCCAGAATGCTGCAGCAACAAAATATGGGCAGCAGTGAAAAGAACTGCTTCTAGAGACTACAATATTAATCCCCCAGCTAAGGGAAATGACTGGCTTCCTGTCTAGTTCTTATTTTAAAGGAAGGCTAAAGCCATGAAGGGTTAATGTGAACTAATAAGCATAATGGAAGACTGACCCAGAAATGCTCTATAATTCCTTTTTCATCTTTCTCTATTACTAGACAACTTTTCTACAGATATTCTCTGTGATTTATTTAATGAAATTCTAACAAAGATTTAGTTCAAACTGAGTAATTTTGGCAATATTTTTAGACTAAGAATTTAACTCAAGAAATTTTGTAGTGGAATTAATTGCCTTAAATTAAAAAGCCAATAAGAGTAGTTAAGGTGTCTTAGAACAATTTGCATAATAGCTTTAACAGTAAGCTACATCTTCAAGTTCATCTCTCTCTGTCCTTGCCACGTACATACTGATTATTATACAAAATGATTAAGGAGACAAATAATCAGCTTAAGTGCAACAAGGAAGAGCAAGAGATACAGCATGGGAAAAGGTCTCCTAATAAGAGTACACAGTACACATTTACCTTAAAGTTATTATGCTGGGGCTGGGGATTTAGCTCAGGGGTTCAGCTGCCTGCCTTGCAAGTGCAAGGTCCCGCGTTCGATCCCCGGTACCAAAATAAAAGTTATTATGCTTCAGGTCATCAGAAGTGGGACTAGTATCTTTCACAAAATCCTAACAAATCTCTACTGACTTCAACTTCCCTTCATTATTTAGAAATAGAGCAGATCTAACTAGTCACAGTTGCCTAATATTACTAATTTTTTATTTAGAAAAAATGATCCAACATACACATTTACAAAGAATGACTACTGCAAACATAAAGTGAGAAGTGCACCTGCTTTCATTACATATAAAACACTTAGGACTATAGTTAAGATCACAAACCTTAATGCATCTACATTCCAATAAATGGAACACATATTTATTCACTAGTTTGGTATCTAATCACCAAGAAACATTCATGCTCTGACCTCCACACTCCTCTGTTCTTTTCCCTAAATTGACCTTTCATACCTACAATGATTCCATCCTCTGCCTTGCTCTCCTCTCTTGCTCCCTATTTATAAAAGCTCAGTGGAATCTTTTCCTAAACGTACTCCTGTCACCTCAAACGAACATTTCCAAAATTCAACTAGTGCCCAACTGATGTCTTTTCTGAGTCTTTCAAAATTTTCATCATTTGGAGGAATCACTGAATTTCAAAGACATGACTCCTGCCTTTATACATCCTCTACGCTCTTTGAAGGTCTTCTTTCACAATAAATTCATTCTACTTTTGCTTCCACTCACATTGCTACATTCTAGAAAGGGCTCTCATGACAATTGCTAGTATTCTAGGACTAAACTCCTACCAGACTTTTCCATTTTTACTCTCTCGGTTCTCTGTTCTACATAATGCTAATTTTTTATAGTTTCTTTACACTGAATTCAAAACCTTCACTTTCACCTCTCACAAAATCAAATTTTGACCCAGCCTAGAAGACAAGACTTTAAATCTGCTTCCTATTTACTGCACTACACTCACCTCTTTCCAATTCTGCACCGGAAACTCTACAAGGAAAAGTCTCTGCTCTTTTTTTTTTTTTTCCAGCTTTTGATCTTTGTCCTTCTGTCCTGTGTTAGACTTCCTGAGCTCATGTTGTTCTCTTAAACTGACACTGGTAGTTCCTCTATCGTCGCTAAATTCCTCAAAGCTGAAGCCACGTCCGGTATATTCAGGAAACCTTCCCTGTCCAACAGGACTGGCAATCACTTGGCTTTTCCTACGCCTCATAAGAGTACACCACCTCATCGTTCTCCTCCTGGAAGCACCTCAGTTTCCCCTATATGTAAAATGGGCACATTAGCCCCCAGGATTTATAAGATGATGCAAGTATATGACAGCTAGAAACATCCTGGGATGTTCAGATAAGAGTAGCTGTATGTATATTGTCATCTACTATACAGGGTTGTAGAAAATCAGTCACTCAACAATCTTTCAAACTGGGCATAATGGCATATTCCCTCCTGTTTCTGATTAAATCACAAAAATCTTTAAAGATCCATTTTTAACTTTCTTATGGTCTCAGCCCAATGTTTTGCACAGACATTTTTATTGAGCATCATCCTAGGATATTTAGGATTAAACAATACTGGCATAATTTTGTTACATAGTTTGCAGCAGTGTAAAATTACAAAATGCAGACAATATGGATTTTTCTATTATATGTCATAAGGCAGATGTTGAATGACATATTAATCTTTTATGCACTTTTTATCCCATACTAATTTTTCTTTTAATTGACAGAGCAAGTAAGGCAAAAGAAGCCAACCTTTAGAAACTTTATTTCTCTCGCTGCAATTTTGTTGACAGATTTTTCCGGCTTCTCATAGAATATCTTGATGGCCACTATCTGCCCCGTATCCTTACGTTTACATTTCATGACCGTACCATAACTTCCCTCTCCCACTTTTCCAAGAATTTCATACATCTCCATTTCCAAGCCTGGCTTCTACTTCTTCATAGAAACAGAGAAAGAAAATGGAAAAGGTTAAACATTTACACTTATTTTTTCAAGCTGTATAAAGCATAGACCCAACCAACTCCTACTTTCAAACGGGGGGGGGTGTTTTCCACAGAGCCATATCTTTGGGAACGGCCAACACTGAGATGCCCTCACTATCTGTCACTACCGTGGGCACGCGTGGGCTCCCCACACTTTCTTCCCATCACGCTCGTGTCAAATCCAGAAGTCCCCACACGACTCATCACGCCACCTATCAGGCCCCGGCACCTAGGAAACCTCAGTCCCACCCTCTCCTCAAAGGCAAAGTCTGAGAATCCCGGACCGGCGTCGCGCCCTTCGCCTCGCCGCCGCCGCCGCCGCCGCAGCAGCAGCCACCTCAACCCATTCTGTGTTCCCGCTGGCCTGGAGCCGCGCAGTCCCAGCGAGACAACGCAACACCTCACTCGCTTCTCCGTCAACCACCGGCTACCATGGCAACGGAGGGGCGGAGGGGTTGCGCTCGGGACCTAGTACGCAAGACCGGATATCAAGACCAGATGTCAAAACCGGATAACAGAGGGGTCCCGACCCGGAAGGGAAAGTGAGAAGAAGCGGAAGCTACTGCGAGTGGGCGCCGGTTGGGGTCGTGCTTGGGAGTGGGGTGGGGGGACGGATGGCCGTCGCTGTTGAGCGACCTGAGAGGTTGATTTTGAGCCAGAATGGGGTTGGGTTCCCGCCTTTTGACCGCATTGTGACTGCAACTCTTCTAAGGAAGGGAAACAGGCAGAGGTGTCCCACTTGTGTCATGGATTTGTCCTGATCGGAGAACATCAGCTGCTTAGGCTGAGCCCTAGAGGGGTGGCTGTTGTCACTAACCAGATAACACTTTCGACATGCATAATGTCATGTCGTAAAAAACGAGACTTCCAAGGAAGTCTTGTGTGATTAGTTTTTCGAGTTGTTTAGATACGGTAATATCCCATAGACCTCAGTTCGACCTTAGCAGTCGATATTCATCCTTAAAACTGGAATAAGATGGTTCTTTAATCAAAAATCTTTCTTGGGAGTGTAGCTCAGTGGTAGATTGTGTAGCTAGCCTGCGCTGAGGCGCTGGGTTCATCAGCATCACACACTAAATAATCAAACCTTAGGCCTGGGGATTTAGTTCAGTGGTTCTGCTGCCTGCTTTGGAAGGGCAAGGATGCAAGTTCGATCCCCGGTATCCAAAATAATCAAACCTTTAAAAAAAATCTGCTCTATTCTGTTTTAAAAGTTTTCAACTCCAGTCAGGTGTGGTGGCGCACGCCTGTAATCCCAGCATTTGGGAGACTGAGTTAGGAAGATCACTGTGAGTTCAAGACCAGCCTGGGCTACATAGTGAGTTTCAGGTCAGTCTCAACTACATAGTGAGACCTTGTCTCAAAAAAAAAAAAAAAAAAAAAAGAAAAGAAAAGTTTTCAACTCCTAGTAATCCTTTTTAAAAGCTCTCTCAATACGTGCCAAAATTCTTAGACCTCTCAGGAAAACAGATAACGCAGAGAGTTCTGCCACATACATGGTGATACACCAAAGCACAGAGTGGGCAGGGGGAACTAGTGTCTAATTTTTTAAAACATAGAGGGATCAGCTGGAGTTACAGCGTCCGTTGAAAAACAAGGACATCACTAGCACAAGTGCCCAGGGAGTGCAATCTTTATTGTGACTTATTTTCTGTGAAATGTTAAATGTAAAAAACCACCACGAGCTATGGTAGTCCTAAATAAGGACGAGTAATACTCAGTAACTTCTAGTTCAGTGGGTCCCCACCCAGCTCATACGTGAAAGTCACTCCTGGAGAACTTTTTTTTTTTTTTTTTTTTTTGGTACCTGGGATTGAACTCGGGTCCTTGCCCTTGCAAGGCAGGCCACTGAACCGCTGAGCTAAATCCCCAGCCCGAGAACTAACTTTAAAGTCCCACTTCCAGAAATCTTGATTTAATTGGTGGAGTAAAGCAATTGGATTTTGTTTGTGGTACTGGGGATTGAACCCCGAGACCTTATATCACAAGTATTATTAGAAATAAATATTTTTGAAAGCTTCCCAAGTATTTCTACCATCCTGCTAGAATGAGAGGAGCCTGACTGGAAGGAGAGGTAGTCATGGTTTTCATTATCCAAAATATTCAAAATTGTTTTTCCCTTTGAAAAGTTACTCAGCCATATGATAAAATAATTTCTATCTACAAAAAAGAATGTCATAGTAAAAGTTATAGTGGACTAGGACACGCTGTTATGCATATTTCTTATTTGTTGTGGGTTAAACATTTGCAATAAACCAAGCACGAACCAGGGGTGAGTCCCTGCCTTCACCAAGCACACAATGTAGAGATACAGAATTGCTACATTATACAATGATAGCTTTTAAGACTTCCTTTCATCAATAGGCTCTGGCAGTCCTGGTGACCAGGACAGCATGGGATTCTTAATTCACAGCCCTCATGCTTTATGAAACACATTCACAGAATTTGTCAAAAATATTACTTCACTTTGGAAAGTCACAAGCTATCAGTTTATATAACAGCTATAAATTGCTAGATAAACAACATAACAGGTTTTTAAGAAATACAGTGTATCCAGCCAGGTATGATGGCACGTAATCCCAGCGCTCTGGGAGGCTGAGGCAGGAGAATCAAAGTTCACACCCAGCTTGGGCATTGTAATGAGGCCATGTCTCAAAAATTTTCTACAAAGGGGGAGCGGGCCTGGGGTTGCACCTCTGAAGGCCAATAGCTGGGGATACACCTCAGTGCAAAGGTCCTGGGTTTAATCTCTAATACTGCAAAAAGAAAGGAAGAGAAAGGGATGGAGGGAGGAAGGACGGAAGGACGGAAGGAAGTAAGGAAGACAATAGGAATGAAATTTTATAAATGGAGGGGAAGAAGGACTGGAAGGGAGTGCAGGGGAATGGGGGAAGGAATGAAGGTATGTACAGCACAGATCTCCTGTGAGGAACGTGAGCATCGTGTGTGTCCAAAGCGTGCCAGCACATTTCTGTAAAAGGTTTCCTGTAGGTTTTCACTACGGGTGACCCTTGCGTCTTTCTTCTCAGCAATGGGAGAGTAGCACTGCTATGGCAGAAAGGCCAAAAAATAAAGGTAAGAGCATTCAGCTTTTAGAGAATGACAACGTGAATGCACAGCAAGACCTCAGGGCTGCCTAATTCAGTCACCAAAGTTACTTCGAGCAAGAGAGATATTCAGAGTCTGAAGATCAGGAAAGTGGGGGGAAAAATCAGTCCTTTGGGGCTGGGGCAATGTTAAAGTCCACAGTTCACCCTTCTTTTCCCTGGTGAAAGGAAGAATTCCCTAAATGCATAGGAAAGAAAGTGCTCAACAAAGACCAGAAGACTGGAGGCTACAGAGGGAGAGAATTGAGTGACTGAGGAAGTGTAGGGATCAGCATTTCTGAGGAGAAAGCAGCAGGGGGCCCCTCTGGTCCTTTGCACCTTACCAATGTAGAAAACCTCAAATGACTTATCTCAGGCTAGATGTTTAGCACCTACCCAGTCTGCAGGATCTCTTCCCCCAGATCTGAATCATTTTGTAGGTTTCTGTGACAACCAACCACCCAGTGATTCCCACTCAAGAGCGCAGGCTCATTTTCCTTGACAAATAGGAGGATGCCTTATGCGAGGCAAAGCCACAGACTGACACAGCTTCAAATGAAAGCAGACCCATAAAGTAAGACCAAGTTCTGTTCTCTATGAAGTCTTCAAACAATACCTAATTATATTGATCATTGTTTTATTTTTGTCCAACTTTCAACCCTGGAAACTGCATTACAGTGCTCTAAGAAATTACTTTGTGGGGCTAAGGAAGCATTTCAGGGGGGGGTCTACTTTGTGTAGGCCTCAGCATTCCATGCTGTTATTGGAAGGTTGTGTGATCCTTTCCGTCACCCTCCCTACTCCACATACCAGAAGTAATATGCCACTCAGCCAACCAGAGAGGAATTAAACTCAAATTATTTTTGGTTCCGTTTTTTATTTCCATGAGGCCTGGGTATTGAACCCAGGACCTTTGCAAGGCTGGCCTCGAACTCAGAGAACCTCCTGTGTCAGCCACGCAAGTGTTGAAATTACAGACGTGAGCCACCACGTCCAGCCCCATTTATACTTCTGAGACAAGGAGGAGGCAGGAGGATCATTAAATTGCCCAGGCTAACAGAGGATAACCTCACGGGTTTAAACCACAGTTTACACCTGGCTGAAACTCAGACGCAGGCGGCGCTCCCACGTGACCCAATGCAACAGCGTCATAGGGACACGTGGTTCTAGAGGCTTCGTCCCTCCACCCCGGGGTGGATTGTTGACAACGCCGCTGGCGGTCACGTGGCCTTACGTCATCCCACCTTCTCTTCCCTGAAATTTCAGGTCCCTCCCCTCCTCTCGGGGAACTAAAGCGGTGACCGGGGTGGTAGAGACAGGCTAGGGTGTAGGTTCAGTGCCCCTGAGTCCAGAGTCCCTAGGGAGCGCCCGGCCGGTCGGCCGCCCAGCGCAGGAAGCCGGCTGGGGCCGTGCGCTGGCCC